TCGATGTGCACAATTGTGAGATGGACGCGGTGATCTGCACGCCACCGTCAGTGTCACCGTCGCAATCACTAAATCATTATCCTCTCAATATCCAGGTGTACTGTCTGCCAGTGTTGGGCTGCATCATCCCCCCTCTCTCGCCCTCATCCTCATATTTCTCGCATCATCATCTGCAATCGAATGTCAATCTTCCAGCATCGACTTTCATCGCCTCCTCACCTTTACACTGCATCCCGATCCTCCTGATCTGATTCCTCCTCCTCCTCGTCCTCCTGCTCCTCGTCCTCCTGCTCCTCCTCCTCCTGCTCCTTCTGCTCCTCCTCCTCCTCCTCCTCCTCCTCCTCCTCCTCCATCCCGTTCTTCTCCAATACACGTCCTCGACTCGTATCCGTTTACTGATCCGCCTACGTTCGCTCTGTCTCTCTCCCCCTCCTCACCGATTCCGCTGCCACTCCTCGGCCTCGTCCGCCCCGGCCCGCCACTTCATGACTCCTCCTCGCGGTTCCTCGTCGTCCGTCGTCCCCCTCTCACTTCAAATATTTGCCATGAGTACCCTCACTCCCCCGCCTCAAGGGTCCTCCTACTCCCCCTTCGCCTCCTCCCGTGAACCGTCCTCGCATCACCTCGTTGATCCTCCTCGGCCTCCGGCTCTTGATCCTCCTACTCCGCCCTCTCCTCCTCATGGCCCTCCCATAGCACCCATTCTCACATCAATGTCTCATCATCCTCTCTGATTATTGACCTTCCTCCGCTTCTTCATCCTGGTAGTTCTGCTGGATATCATGCTCCCCTCTGCTGCTCCTCCTCCTCGTCCCCCATCATGCTCATCCTCCTCCCCATCTTCATTCTTCTCCCCTCCCGCTTCCTCCTTCTTGGTATCGTGCGCTGAGACCTATAATCCCTTTGCGCCACGCTGCTTGCTGCCAGCGCACACGCATCCCTCGCTCGGCCGTGCGACCAGCCCGAACGAGGGGCGAGCCCTGCCTCTGCAAAGATGTACGCCCCTCTTCGCTCTTGGCCCCCTCTCCCCATTCTTGTTCCCCCTCCTCATCCGTCTCCTTCTCCCCCCCCCTTCCTTCTGCTTCCGACATGAGGATGAGGAGTAGCGATTGGGGCGAGAGAGTGAAGGAGCGGGACTGCGGGGGGAAAGGATGGCGTGAAGGGGTGGGGGAGGAGAACGAAGGGACAAGGACAAGGGCAATGCAGCGGAGCAAAAGGACAACAAGCAGGAGAGGAAATGATGATGATATATACGATCGATCGATCGAGCTCTCGGGCCGGTTCGGTGCTGCACTATCGCTGCGCGCTGTGTTGCTTAATAAAGTTGTGTGGCCTAGCTGAGGTCGTTTTTCTGAAAGGGGGTCGCGGGCGTCACTGAGACGCTCGGGCCCTACCTGCACCGTCCTCCCCCACGCAGGGGTCTGCGGGCAGGGTAGCACCCGCTATCGAGTGCCCTCTCGCTGGTTCCCCTACTGCCCCGTCTTCTCAGCCCTTCGGGTGGGGGCGGGGAGGTCGGCGCAAGACAAATTAGTCAGGGAAGCTCGGGCCTCGGAGTGGGAGGAGGTCCCGGACGGAGGCGGAGGAGGAAAGCGTCCTTCCCTGACCAGCCCATGGAATCGTGCGCTGGTGCGTAAAAACGGGGTGGCCTGATGGGCCGCGATCGCTGGGGCAGAACAGAGCCGCGCCGTCCGCTCACGCACATCATATTGTGCTGCTCCTCTCTCCGTGTCGTTCTGGCGAGACGTCCCAGTTCTCGTTCTCCGCGCGGAACCGCCCCGATCTTGCGGCTCGTCTCCAGCTGCGTGTCCATTCACTTCGCCTGGAACTGAAGCCTGCACTTCTCCGTGATGCCCCCTCCTTTGCCCTTGTTCTTGCGTGCGGGGAAGATTGGGATGCTGTCTGCTCTCTTCTCTGCCCTGCCACTCGATGACGTCCTTGTAGTATTTCTCGAGGTAGTCGCGCTCCGCTCCTGCGTCGGACATGCGCCCCGTGTAGTTCGCCATTTCGGTCCATACGTAGGTGTGGGGGCTGTCGCGCGAAGCCGCGTCCACTTGTTCTCCCAGCTCCTGGCCAGGTGTTTCCAGGCTGTCTCTGCGCTCGATGTTGAACGTCTCCCTGTGGTATCGTTGTTCTCCGTGGTCCCAGTGATCCTGCGTGTTGTTGCCGTTGGTCGTGTCCGCGTAAGTCACTTGCAGCTGGCGAACTCCTTGTGCATGTCCTTCATGGTGGACGTGTAGTTGTAGCTTGCGTTGTTCTTCGGCTCGTGAAGCACTGGTAGTAATTGATGCGCTCGTTGATAGCAAGGCGGCCTTCGGTAACTTTTTTACGTGTTCTCCGCCTTCTGCTTGAAGTCCCAGGCCGTGTCGTTAGCGTGGTTGGTGTTCCGCCTTCGGTGGGCGTAGTGGTAGTCGCCATATCTCCGTTGGTGTCGCCGTTGGTGGCGCTGCTCGTCGTAGGCGTACTCGTTTGTGGCCTTTGGGCCTTTGGCGATCTCGTTGTAGTCTTCCTTTATCTTTTGTTTTCCAAGTTGTTCTCGTAATATTCCTTCTCCGCGGCGTTGTGTGGGATGGCCTCCAGGTGCTGGGCGTTCTGCTCGGTGCCTTCCCTGCCGTCTGATCCTCCTGGAAGTCGCCGAAAATCAAGCCATCCTGCTTCGTGAAGTTTGCCGTAGCAACCGTCCAGAAGTCCCTCTTTCGTGGTACGTATCTTCCTCCTGCTCGTGATAGTTCTTCGACTCGTTGCTCTGTGCGTTGCCGTTGTGCTCGTCGCCATTGTCGTTGGCGTGTCTTCGTGATGTCGTGCAGCTTTTTCCCGTTCTCGCGCATCTCCATGATCGGCCTCAGGAGGGCGCCCCTCACGCTCTGGAGCATCTGGCACTCGTTGGGCGTGGGCAAGTAGCACTCGATGCACGAAAGCCCCGTGTTGATGACCCTGCATATGAGGACCGCGCGCTTCCGCATGTAGGGTATCTCTCGCTTGGTCCAGGACCTGCCGCGCTCGTAGTAGCTCTTCTTCATGGCCTGGATGCGCTTCTGCAACTCTGGGTAGTAGCTCTGCGTCGATGTTACTTGAGGGCCCAGATGTTTGTCTATGGCGTGTGGATTGCCCTCCGGCTCTGTCTCTTCCTGGGACCTGGGTGGGTCAACCGTCCCTGGCAGGTCCCTGG